TATTCTAACGGAGAAAATTTTTCTTTAATTTGTATTTTGACAGTCCCAAACTCATACAAGCTTCCAATAGTTTTAATGGAGACTTCAGTCTTTTTAAGTACTCAAGAGCTCAGCAGTTGCTTCCATTTGTATGTCTTTTTCTTTCAAATCCTTCCTAATGCAAATTTCTTCATGTTTGGTTACTGCTAATAATAATGTTAATGATAGACAATTTGTCCCAGAGACTCCAAGCCCTAAAAATGATCTTTTAGTCCCTGGAACTTTATCTTCCACCTCTATTATTACCTCCTCATTTGAAAGGAATGTTGCTAAGAAACATGCTGATGTTCTAGTTCTGGACAATGAGTAAACAGCTAAGTAATGCTCTTTCCATCCCCTCACACCTTTTTTTGCTCTGCTTTCTATCTGTCTTGACTGACACTGTGTCTCTCATATTCTTCTTCTAAACTTTTTGCACGAAGTTCCTCCAAGGCACTCACACTTGTTACTCCTTATTTGCCCGAACTGCAGTTATCCATGTATTTATTGCACAACTACTTATCTGGCCTTTGAGTCCCTTGAGCTGCTGGACTGACCAGCCTACTAAGTACTTTCTATTTCTTTCAGTTCTTGTTTTGTTTCTATGGTGTGGTCAAATAGCTCATACACTTTTTGTTCTTCAGTTGCGGTCATTGAGCAGACACAGTTGATCAACTTCTTCGCTGGCACCCACAGTATGGGTCCCTAAAGCAGTAGACATATTGTGGTGCTCTGCTGCAGTGGGGAAATATGCTCCCTGTCTTTGTTAAAATCTTGTAATACACAACTACCTGTGTGGTTGGGTATGATGCCATGGTGAGTTTCTCAGTAAACCAAAGTCTAATACTGATTTTTTTTTTTCTTTTTCTGTAAAGGTACCTTGGAAATGCAATGGTCATTCTGAGTCACTAGTGTATCAGGGTAGGTTTGTTAGTAGTCCTACGAGGAAAGCTTCTACCATAACTATTTTAGCTGCCCACACTGGTGATACTGATCTGTTATTTGAGTCTCTATAACCTTACGTCTTCTAGCAAACTGCCACTGGAGTGGCAGGTCTGGAATCCTAGCTACTCATTGCATTAGTTTTTATATCTATATGACACTGCATAAGGGTCCAGAAACCTGAAGTGGTGCACTTGTTCAAGCAAAGAAATCAAATCATAAAAGAGCTAGTGCTTGCACTCTAAGCAATGGTATACATATTGTGACTGTTCCTGAGTGTCAGTTGGTGGTGTTCTCACAATTAACTGTGTTCTAAGCATAAGTCTGGGATTATATTTAATTATACAGTGTACCATCTTACTTAAACTAAAGTTTTATTAAACTTACTGGAATTGAAATTACTCCATTTAAACTGTTTCTAATTTAAAGGGTTCATTTGGAAACACTCTTCAAAACTGAATTAGCTAGGATTGCTTATTTGAATGCTGTACAAAACATATGAAATTTGTCCAAAATATGTTGAAAATACTTGAACCATCTGTAAAAAAATGAACTTTGCTGTGATTGCTCATGCAGAATATTTTTTAATAAAATGTTATTGTAATACAGTCTGTCAGTTTTCATATACTTACAGTAATCTGCTCATGTACTTCTAAAAAAAAAAAGTTGATATTTACTACTACTGCACTATGATCCTTACTCAAAACAAAAAAACAAAACCAAAACAAACCAAAAACCCCAACAAACAAACAAGCAAACCCCAAACTTCTTTTTCCTCAAAATTTTAATTGTATTTATAGCTGGATTCAGATTCAAGAAAGCTTTCTGAAAATATCCCTTAAATAGTTTATTTTTCCCTTTGTGAATTCCACCTGCAAACCTGTTTCAGATAAGAAGTAACTATAGTAACATCATGTTCATCTGGTTTAATTTTAATACACTGCTGAAAATCTTGAAGTTGTAACGTTTCAGGGCTTATAACAGGAATCTTTTCATACAGTATTGTGAACATCAGCTAGTTCTTGAAGTCCTCTTATCTGTCTGGAAGTGATGAGGGCTGAATGCTCCCTAAGAGGTGGGTAGAACCAAGTTGGATAACCCAGCTAGAAGGGGTTCAAATGGGGCTGGACTGAAATCTCCCCTCAGGGAGGTTGGACAGGGCCAGTAAGGGCTGGTAGAACCCTCATGGCCCTGAGGGCATCCCTGTACAATATTTTAGTTATTAGCATATTGATATTATTAAAGGCTCTATGTAACAGTAAGAATGTTCTTACTATGTTACTTTTTGTTAACTATAGTATAATTTCTGAAATGGCATCACAAATCATTTACTATTTTCTGAAGGCCACATTTGCATCTGTATGTATGTACATTTACACATACTTCTATATCCCTTCTGACATCTGAATGTAAATTATTGTGTGAATTATCAAGGCTACTAAATTGCAAGCTGAAGTTCACATTGAAAGAGTAACAGATCTGGTGATCCAGAGAGAAAATTATCCAGGATTTTAATACTTTAGGTGTATTTCTATTCATACGACTGATGCTCATTGCACTTTATACTCATCTTACAGATCTGTAATTCCACTGATTTCAGCTAAATCTTCTCTGAATGTCTAGTTCATCTGAGTAGACTACCTTTGATTAACTTGAACCTCTGTGTTTAGGCACTTCCTGTGTAAAATAAAGTGCAGGTAAACAGTATAGATGAAATACTGGACTTCTTGATAGGAGTTTTACTGTGTTTTATTTGATCTAGAATTTAAGGTTGCATTAAGGAGTATAGATTTAAGTTCCTAACTTCTTCGTCCCTCTTTTTATTACATAAGACAAGGAAAGAAGAAGAAAGGAGGCTTGGCTCACCTAATTTTTCCTTTTCCTGTACTTGAGAATTTGATATCAATCTTACAATTAGAGTCTGAGAGGCAGATTTTAGCCTGAGAATTTTGATAAGTATTTTCCTAAGATGAAAGGAAAGAAACCTTTGGATAATTATGTGAACAATCTTTGGGAGTGTAAGTTCCCAAACCTTTAGCTGAACTGGAAAAATAGGCATGGTAGTATCCTCCCTTGCTAAGGGTGAGATTATTGTAACTGGAAAGACTCTTCACTAAATACTGGCTAAGCAAAAGTGAAAAGGGCTCCTTTAAAATACACTTTGGCAATGCAGATGCCCATTAAGACAACTGCCTTTCTCAGAGTGGCAGTTGCCTGGACTAATGATTTTCAAAGAACCATAAGGAAAGTGAAAACCAAGTGTTGAGAAAAAGGCCCTTAGCAGCTGCTTTTGTTGTCAGAAGCCCCCTTGATTGCATCACATTTAGCTTAAAATAGTCACACTGAACACTGTGTCTCACTGATAATTATAGCTTTTTATCTAGAAAGATGGACAAGCCAAACAGTCACTTTCATCTGCCAGACTCTGTGATGCAGAGCTAATTGGCAGAATGCTAGAGAGGTCAGAGAATGGTCCAGTGAGACATTAAACACACCTGAACTATTAGAAATTAGCTCAGAATAATTTTAGACTTCCCAGGGAACCGATTATCATTTAAAGTTAATAATCATAGTGAAAACAACTAGGAAAAGTGTTTCTTGCAGAGGGAAGCCCTGGATTCAAAGAAAGGGACTGTGAGGTATAGAAAATTTTAGTGAAAACCTAATGCATCATTCAGGTAAAAATAAATCTTAATCTATGGCTCCTTAACTCCTTTCCTTCTCATCTAAAAAACTTTCAAGAACAGCAAGAACCAATATAGTGAGTGACACCCACAGGGGTCTGTCTAACCTAATATGCTTAGTCGGGGGATAACCAATAATGAATGCCCAGGGAAGAATCTTAAGAATAAAACAAGTATATAATAAATTTCCCAAATATTTTCCTAGCCCTTAGCCATTCCTATCTAAGACACTTCCCCAACTGTTTCTATCAGATGTTTTAGTGCTGTTGGATAAACATACTTAAGCATAATAAGTGGTAGCAAACTACCGGAAGCATTAACGTACCCATGCTCTCACTGCAAGCTCCAGGGAAAGAACAGTGTGGTATCAGGTGATTCCAGACAGAAAAGTGCCTCTCTTCAGCAGCAACTGCAATCCTAATTTTTCCTCCGCTCATGCACTCACCCCACTTCATTGAGAGCATGATTGGTAAGCTCTTTTTTTTTTTTCTTTGGGACTATTTCTCCTGACTCTCTGTTGAAGCTCTTCCCCTTTCCTGTGCATCTGTGCTTCCCCTGGAGGAGTGTATCTGGCTCCTCATTTTTCAAGAAGCAAAATTAAATTCTTTATGTGATTCTTTATTCTGGCTTTAGACACAGGATAAGCTTACACATATATATGTAAACATTTCTCAGAAGCTTAAACCTAGTTGGATGCTGAGAGTAGTCATGCTGCAAACTGATTCAAAAAATGTTAAGACTGTATTTAACATCATGCAGTGTTTATCTCCATGCTACATCAATTTGATCCCTAATACTACTTGTCAGATACTACTACCAGTGGGTCAGGATTATCTTTTACAAGATCTCGCCTTCCAGTGCTCTCTTTCTTTGTTTTTTTGAGAGTAACAATTCTTTTTGTCTTCAAAGAAATGCATGACTGTGTTTGCAAGGTTTTTGTAAGTGCAAGTATTATAGATTGTGCAGATTAATAGAATAATGCAGTATAGTGTTGGTTTGGTAGTTAGAAAAGTACAGGTTGTCAATATGTGGAAAAGGCTAGTGAAACAGGTTTGTATTAAGGGTTTTTGAATTTGGAACTTTGTAATATTGACAGGAAATAACCCCCAAATTGTATAAATTAGGTTCAACTCTGATTTCTAAAGTAAGGATTGCACAAAGGTTTCAAGCTTAAAATAGTATTCTTAGTACTCTTTTATATAAAAAATTGACTGGTAAAATAGTTTATGAAATTATTAAAAGGTTTGTTATATTAAACACAGCTCCCCTCTCAGCATGTATGTTTATATTAAGTTCTAACTTAATTCTACCTCAATTTTTTGTTCTCTCATTTATTGTCTCATACATGTTTCCCAGGATAGCCCACTGGTCTTACAGTCTGACAGAAATGTAACAGTGAATGCAAGAAATCACATGGGACAGTTAACTGGACAACTGACAGTAGGTGAGTGTTCTTTATTAACTGTTACGTTTATCAGTTTAGCTTTATGAAAAGGTTTCATTAATAAAAATCACATATAAAATATTACTGAATAGTCAGGAAAAAAAATCTCTCATCACCATACTCAAACAAAAACGGGTGCCTATAATGCACAATACATACATAATAAGAGCATGATTCAGGATTAGCTCAAGGCAGAAAAAGTAGAAATGTCTCAAAACAGTTAAAACAGCTTAATGAAAAATTATTGGTTTTGAGACAACTGTAACAAAACAAACTAAAAAGAACCTCAGCAAAACATGTTTCAACAACACTTTCAGTGGGAAAATAACTATAATTTTCTTACAAGTTCAGCCAGTCTTCCATTACTTCAGTGGCAATTGTTTAGTCCCCATCACTTTTGTAAGGCATTTGTATCAGTACATATTCAAAGAAGTTGGAGTAATGGAATATAAAAAAATAGAACAAAACAAAAATGAAAATGCTTTCCTAGTCATTACAAAATTTAAAGGGAAAGTGATCATACAGCCAGTCATTCATTAAAACTGATATTTTACAAAATATAAAATATAGCAGATCCAAGTTCCAAATGAAATGGAAATAAAAAATCCTCTACTTATCTGTTTCACTTTTCATGTATTTTTCCCTGCTTTTATGGTCTTTACTGTGTTATACTCTGTTTTTAGTGCAAGTCATATTTATTGTGTTAGTAAATATGGAGTAATTTTCTTTCTATATTTTCAGAACTAGAACAGTACTGAAGGTATTAATTGCTTTTTAAGAATATTGGCCGAAAAAATTCACTGCAAATTGGTGTTCTAGATCTGTCACAAAACAATATATATTGACTGTGAATGGGATAAAAAAATATAAAAACATACATGTGTAAGACCTTAATATAAATAATATTAATAAATTATATAAATTCAATTAAACACCCCTTAGGCTCCATGTATTTTCATTTTTTCACTTTACTTCTGGGTTAAGCTGCATTTTATCTGCTTTTTTTCCTCATGTGTTGAGGTTATGCTCACATAGTTTAAAACTCTAGCTGTAATCTACACTAAGTTTTTATACTGGCAGGAGATAGTGGCTTCAAGTTGTAAAAATCTTTGGCAAGTACAGACCCAGTGACATACCATCTGCACTGATTTCCCTGAATGACCACATCAAATGAGTGTGAAAAGGTAACTAGACTTGCTAGAAGGTACAGATGAGGAAAATTAAGCTAACACCTGTTCTAGCCATATTGTACTTGCCCAGTGTGATTATGGAATGCAGTTCTGTATCATTTGCTAACTATATTATTAAAACCTTCTACTTTGTCTGGTAATTGCTAAAAGGTGAGTTGCCCATGGCAGACATTCACATTGGCTGAAATATATAAATAATATTTTTATCACTGACACTATTCTGGCTGAATGAATCAAGTACAAAAAATGAGTGTGAGTTTATCGAGACTGACCTACTTAAAGGCATCACACTAGAGGCTAGTATTCTAAAAACATAAAGGCCTGAAAAAAATTTATGTTTTTGTGTTTCTGTCATTAGAGTGAATGCCGTTAGGCTTCTTGGTGTGCAGCTGGTACTGTGTTTGGAGAGCAGAAATTTGTTAAATTGCAATATTGTATTTACATTATTTCTTATTCTTTACCTTCCTCTTCGTTCCTTAACAGCTGTATGGCCTTTATTACTTCTTATATTAGTATAAAAATCTGCTTCTTTATTTTTTATGAATTCCCTGTACTGTATTGGATGCATATTAACATATTTCTTAATTTCTTATCTCTTATTAAATATTTCTAACTTAGTAAAGTCAGTCACCACTGCCAGTATAATCAGTAAAACCTGGACATTCTACTATTAGAAATCAAAGAAATTAACAGGCATCTAAAAATCTATTATTCCTGCCCTCTCTTCTAAAATTTTTTCTTGTGTAAGACAGAGCAGAGAAAGACAAGTTTTCACTTTTGCCTTGTTAAAAGCATGGCCACATCTGCTAAAAGAATGGTAGGGAACTCTTCTATACTGTGTTTGCTGACATAAGAAAATATTTTTTCTATTAGTTGTAAATATGCTCTGGAACATTCTTCTTTAAATGAAGAGGTATGCTGCATCCTTCAAAAACAATGAAGAGAAATGCTTTAAACAGCAACAACAACAACAAAACAAACAAACAAAACCCACAACAAACCAAACCAAACCAAAGTAAATTATTATACCTTGGGGGAAAAATTTTCTAGTTAACAACTTTGAAATCTTCTTATATGTTGACATCTTTAAAGAGCTGAATAATAATAATCTTAAAAAAAACACCAAACCTACAAATTTATATGCATGGCAGGAGCATTCTATAAAGAAAGAAGGATGACAGTGCATTCAGAAAGATGATAATACACTTTTTATATATGTTATAGTGTTGGCATTTTATCTGTAGTTCACAGGACATAAGTGATATTACAAGGCAACAAATTGGCTGATCTCTTCCTGTCTTTGGCATCCAAATTGCTGGTCATATCAAATTTTAGGACAACTAGAAATTCGTTCTATGGTATTTGAAACTCTTCAAGACCAAGACAGCCTCAAGAGCATGCACTTAGAACTGTAACTGGAAGATAGATTAATGTAAAGAAGTGGGGTTGGGGCTGGAAGGAAGGAGGTTACATGTTCACTCAGGAGATGGAAAAATGCCAGTGAAACTCTTGATACAGGTGTTATTGAGTGGGTGTCACTGTGAGTGACTATGGAAGACAAAATATTTAATCAAAGCACCTCATTTAAACATCTTGGAACATGTCCTAATCTAGGAGGAGTGAAGAAAAAGTATATTAAAAAAAACAAAACAAACGCAAAACCAAACAAAAAAACCCCCAAAGAAACTAAATATACTGAAGGATTGGAAGACTGAGTGGTTGTGTGTTTAAATGGTATGAATTCAAGTCGTGGCTCCAGGTCATACAATACTAATATCCATTATTACAGTACAGTGTTTTTATACTGGCAATAAAAACTGTACAGAGAGAAAGTCACAGCTGTAGCAATACTTTCTGTTGGGATTTCTACCAAGTAAGCAAGAAATGTTGGGTAGCACTCCAGTCTATTTGTGACATATGGTCAGGAAGCTGCCAAGTTTGTGTCTGGATCTCCAAAAGGACTCCACAGCCTTCAGTTCTTAAACATGCCATTTAAGACCAATGGAGCAGATGTAGCACAAACGTGAGTTATATCTACAGAATAAAGATGAAAAAATGGCCATCCATTGAACTTTGTATCTGAGCTGGAAAAGGATAAGTAATCGCATTTCTCCCCTCCCAACCTTCACTTAGCAATACCTTTTGCACTGTGCTTTCTACTCAGTTACCTTCACACAACCTTTTCCCTCTGTTTAATCAGTGTTTGCATAGTTTAAATATATATGGAATGCATAGTTTAAATATATATGGAAAAATATCTACTTCTCTATTTTTACCAGTCTTAGAAATGCACATTAGTTGCTCACCTTGAGAAAGAAGTCTGTTGTTCCATGCTGTCTGCACATATCATATATGCCTCTGCCTGTTTTTGAATGGAGAACATTAAGCTGGCAGCAGCTAAAGAAAATTGGTCTGATGTTTGAAATCCACTTTTGTTCTTACCATAAATTCATCCTCAGATTTAATTTTACTTCACCAATGTTCTCATTTTTTGTGAGAGGTTGGTTTTTTTCTTATTTTTTACCTTGCTGCTTCTGACAGGTATTTCTGCTACTTCTTCACCCTTTCCCATTCATAAAAATCTCTGGGGATATCTGAAATGTGCAAAAAAGTGCACTTCTTTTCTGCTAAGCTTTGAGCCCTCAGGCAGAATCATAACTCTCACAGAGGTCCAGAGCTATAAAAGCCACAGCTTTACAGAGCTTCTGAACCTGTCACTCTGTTCATTGAGATCTCTAGAGCCCTGCAAATTGAGAAAAAAATATTTGAATACCAATGAAAGTTGTATTACACTCTTGCAATTGCTATTTGAAAATAACAGGCAGATGTGTGATTTTCAATAGCAGCACTGCTAAAAACTGATAGCAGTGCTAAAAGATATAACTAGTCAAATAACTTGTCAAACGTGGTGATGCTTTCCATACATTTAACACAAAATTTGTCTTTGTGTATTTGTGATTTTTCTTTCTTTAAAATGTGCTTGCTTACTTGCTGTGTTCCATTAAGAGTACATGAGTTACTGTGCAGAAACTCATGGACATTAGGAACCACAGTTACATAACTCTGTGAGAGTGGGAATAGTCTCATCATTCTTACCTATGTCACATAAGGCAGCCACCTATGCCTGTATCTACCGATACCTTACCAGATAACACATCCTGCTAGCCCTTCACTTCTGAGGTGTGCAGAGTAACTCATTACCTAAATGTTGCTTGTGATGTTCCTTTTGCAACATTTAGATATCAGTGAAGATTCTGAACCAGGATACATTTCAAGCATCTTTGCTTTTAGAATGATCTGTGGTAGTAATAATGTGTTACATTATTACTCTCTGCGGTAGTAACAAAAGGTACATGTAAAAAATGTGTACACATATGTAACACCCCAGCCCTGGAACCACTCAAGGTGGTTCCAACCTGGATACTGATCTGGTGTTTAACAACATGTTGCTCTGAAGCTTTTATACTCTTGTGAGACATTTACTTAAGATTTTTATGAATTTGAACTAAGGATCCAGTAAGGCAATGGAAGTAATAACAGGCTTAAGTAACAATGGATGAGAAACGTTTCTGTGTTTTCTAATCGTGTTTTCAGCCTCAAATGTAAGATGTTTTCTCCTAAGTGTTGCAGGAAGAACGTATCATACACATACACCCTTTCTTCACAGTAGGAAAATGTAACATAAACTCTCAACTCTTCTCTGTCTTATCTGCGTGACTGTTCTTGTACGACCCATAGTAGCATGATGCGGAGGGAAGGGATGGTGGTGTTTTACAAACCCTCATTAGCTGCTTCTGCCCTTCAACTAGG